GGCCATGGACATCATCGACCTCGTCATGCCTACCCACCCCGCCACCGCCACGGTGTACAAGGTCTGGACCGCCGTCGTCGCGCTCTTCAATGACAACCAAAAGAGCCGCGAGATTTATCTCGTCGAGGAGTTCCACAACATTAAGCAGGAGGATCGGTCCATCACCGAGTACCTTCACCTGCAGAAGACGGCGGCTGACGCCCTCGCCGAGGTCGGTGCGCCCGTCTCCGATACCGAGCTCGTCACCAACGTCATCAAGGGCCTCCACGAGCGTTTCGACAACGTTGCCGACATCGCCCCCCTCCTCACGCCGTTCCCTACCTTCCTCAACTTTCGCAACATGCTGCTGCTCCACGAGATGAAGGCCTCTCGGCGCTCCAACAACACCTTGGCCTCTACCTTTTACGCCGCCAAAGGACCCATCCCCGCTCCTTCCAGCGGCGGCGGCTCGTCCTCCGGAGGCGGTGGTGGTGCTCCTTCCGGTTCGGCCGGCGGCCAGCTATGGCGGGCTCCTGCTCCCGCCCACAATCCTCATGCCACCGGCTATGGCAAGGGGAAGGGCAAGAACAAGGGATACAAGTCCGCCGGTGGCGCTCCTCCCATGCCAACTCTGTTTAATCCTTGGACATGAGCCATCCAGTTATGGCCCATGCAGTCCCGCCCCACCAACTCCGGGGGCAACACCGGCGACATCCTCGGACGGGCTCCGGGCCCCCGCGCTCACGCCTACATGGCCACTCCACCGGCTGCTCCGGGCACCCACTACGGCGGTTACGGCTCCGTCCCATATGGTGCCGCGCTGCCCTACGCTGTGCCACCAACACTGGCACCATCATGGGACGCCGCTGCTCTCGCCCAACACTTCACCAACATGACGTTGCAGCAGCCCGCTCCCGAGTGGGTCATGGACAGCGGCGCGACCGCCCCTTTCCTCCGATGCCGGTATCTTATCCTCCCTTTCTCATCATCCTATATATCGTCACGTGGTGGTCGGCGACGGTTCCACCGTTCCCCTCACCACATCCGGTCATTCTTCCCTTCCTTCTCTTTTTCCTAACAGACCTCTTCACTTACGCCATGTCTTAGTAACACCTAGCATTATCAAAAATCTTATTTCCGTTCGTCAATTCACTACTGATAATCATTGCATTGTCGCTTTTGACCCCTTTGGTTTCTCTGCGAAGGACCTTCATTCCCGGCGCGAGATCCTTTGGTGCAATAGTACGGGGGAGCTCTACATATTCACATGCCCTCCGCCTCCTCGCGCCCTCGCCACGCTCACCGCCCCTCACGACATGTGGCACCGTCGTCTTGGACATCCCGGCCATGATGCTTACCGTCGCCTCTCCGAGCATATTTCCCTCCCTTGTATTAGACAAATAAATCCCTCCCCTTTATGTCATGCTTGTCAACTAGGATGTCATGTACGTTTGCCTTTTTCTGCTTCTACTAGTCGTACCACTCGTCCATTCGAGTTAGTGCATTGTGATATTTGGACTTCACAAATCTTGAGTGTTTTTGGCAATAAATATTTTTTAGTCATTCTTGATGATTTCACACATTTTCTATGGACCGTTCCGCTTCGCCAAAAATCTGATGCTTACGCTTCACTCTCCGCTTTTCGTGCGTTCGCTCATACTCAGTTTGGCTTACCTCTCGTGTCCATACAATGTGACAATGGTCGTGAGTTCGACAACAATAAACTCCACTCTCTTGCTGCCACGCACGGTATTCATATTTGTTTTTCTTGCCCATACACATCCCAACAAAACGGTAAAGCTGAACGCATTATTCGCACTGTCAATGACATTGTGTCTCTTATTTCAGGCTAGCTTACCTCCTCGTTTTTGGGCCGAAGCACTTCACGCCGCCACTCACGTTCTTAACCGTCTTCCCACCAAAACCATTGCAGCTCCCTCTCCATACTTTGCCCTTCATGGAAACCATCCCGATTACTCATCACTACGCGTCTTCGGCTGCCTATGCTACCCCAATACCGCCTCCACCATGCCACATAAACTGTCGCCGCGTTCGAGTGCTTGCGTTTTTTTGGGCTATTCCTCTCATCATAAGGGATATCGGTGCATGGACCTCACTACCCACCGCATCATCATCTCTCGTCACGTCGTCTTCGATGAGATGACCTTTCCATTTGCCTCCCTACAGCCCACCACCGTAGCCACATACGACTTCCTCGCCGACGATGACACACTAACCATAGTTGTCCCACCTCTTCCGATCGTCACTCCTACTCCTACCCCGCCACCCTCCCCACCACCCACCCCTCCATCACCACCCGCACCACCCTCACCAC